AAATGTTACGTTTGTTAAAGTCGAATCCGTCTTCAACCAACCTTATCTTCAGAGGGAGTTTATATTAGAAGAGAAAGATTTCTTCTTTTTCAACATTCCACTACCTTCCTCACATCCAAATACTAAACCCTCTTAGTCTCATTTGCCCTAAAACCCCAAAAATAAACCCTAGTTACACCACAATTTAGACAATGGACCTGGAACAATAACTATACAAGATGAACCGTTCACTCACTTATACTCAAGGAAGAAAAATCTGGATCTTGAACCAAAGCAAGTTCAAGTGTCTGAGTCAAGTGTAGTGAATGAGGTAACTTATGAGAAACCTTTACCTTCTGATGTGGATGTACCTATTACACTTAGAAAATGGACTAGACAATGTACTAAATGTTTATTCTACTCAATTTCATACTTTGTGTCATTTAACAGGTGTTCCCTATCTCACAAAAACTTTTTCATTAGTCTAAATGCAGTATATATTCCTAATGTATTGTCTGAGACTTTATCATGTGAGAAATGAAAAAAAGTCATGAATATTGAAACGTGGGTATTAGAAAAAAAAAAACAGATATAGCAAGTGGTAGACTTAGCTAAAGGAAAGATATATGTGAGATGTAAGTGAGTGTTTATTCTAAATACAAGATTGATGGGACCATAGAGAGATATCAAAGCAAGATCTGTGGTCAAGATATATACCTAAACCTATTGGATAGACTACTAGGAGAACTTCATACTGATTGTCAAGATAAATGCAATGCGAGTCTTATTGTCCTTAATTTCCAACTTTGATTGGCAATTATTACAATTTTGATGTAAAGAATATATTTCTTCATAGAGACCTAGAAGAAAAAACCTATATAAAAATGGCCTCAAGATTACCAAAAAGGAAAAAGTTCACTCTATGGGCTCAAGCAATCAACAGAAATACAATTTGGAAGATTTGTAAAAGTATGCTGGCAATAAGGTACAAACAGAATCAGAAAGAATACATCCCGTTTGTTAAGATTCAGATTTAGGGGGAGTTATAGCTCTCTTAGTGTATGTTGATGATATTATTGTGGTAGATGATGATGAAAAGGAGAATTGATGCTCAAATAGTACTAGCTAAAGAATTTGAGATTAAAAATTTTTCCTTGGAAGTAGCTCTCTCAAAAATCAAGATTTTCATCTCATAGATACTTATATAGTTATCTACTAAAGTACACAGGTAAGTTTACATCAACTGATCCTAACCATAAATTGGGACTAGCAAGGTTACACACAAATGTCAATAAGGAGATATACTAGAAACTAGTTGGAAGACTGATATAATTGTCACACATGAGATCATATATTTTTTATGAAGTAAGTGTGATAAGTTAATTTATGCACAACCTTAAAAATGTACATTTACAAATAGCGTATCGAGTGCTCCACTATCTTAAGAGGACACTAGGGAGAGGTATCATGTTCAAGAGAAATAATAAATTATTTTTTGAAGCCTGCATTAATGCAGATATGTCAGATTATTAATGAACAGAAGATCAACCACTGGCTATTATACCTTTTTTGAGGAAATTTAGCCACACAAAGAAGCAATAAGCGAAATATGGTAGTAAGATCTGGTGAAAAGTCAGGATTCTAGGCAATAACTCAAGAACTATGTGAACTACTATGGTCAAAAATGATCAAATATGATGGTTCTATGAGATTCTACTATGATAATAAATAAGCAATCAAGATTGCTTACAATCCAGTGCGATAAGTCAGGATAAAGCATATTGAAATTGACAGGAACTTTATCAAAGAAAAGCTAAACAATGGCTTAATAACTACACTTTATATACCTGCTAATTCGCGAATTGCAGATGCGTTGACTGAGAGTTTAAGTAATTCAAGTTTCCAAGAAATTATTGTCAAGCTGGAAATGGACAGTGTCTACTCACTAGTTTGAGGGGAGTGCTTGAAAGTATGTACTATGTATAATTAAGATAAAGAGTATATTAGTAAATTTATCATATATGTAACTAACAGTAGGTTTCCTTTTGTTTTTCCTAAGAATATATATATATATATATATAGGCTCTCATTATTCAATAATAACAATAACAATTCATTCTTCCACAAAAAGAACTAGGTAAAGCAATAAATTATTTGGGAGACAGAAAGTTTATAACATCTTCTATGTTATTTTGAGTTAAGTTATGCGCTACCCTGATCATGTTCTTACAGGAGTATACTTTGTACCTGGTCTAGAACTCTTCCATTAAATTTGGGACCATGTCTATTAGGGCCACTACTGACAGATTTTGTTATGGGATGATGAGCATAAAACTTTGTAGGAAATGGTGAATGTTTTTGTGTTTCTCTTCCTTTACCCAGTTTTAGTTAAATTGATGGACTCGTTAAGAGAGAACTCAAAAATCTTTAGAGTGATAAAGTTCTTGATACTTTTAAAAAAGTTCTTCATTCATAATCTATTGGAAACTACTACCTACACCTAATACCTGAATTATATAATATTCTCACCCAATAAAATGCTTTAATACATCTATAATTAATTATTAAGTGAACTATGCTTCTTTGATACACCTTGGAAAAAAAGTTATTTTCCCACTTGTAGAGTTCCTAAGATCATTGCTCTCTTTCAAATTATGATTGTCCTTTATCTAGATAGTGAAGAACCATTTGATCAGCAAGTTCCCAAGAAACATCAGCCTTGAAAGACACTCTATAATCTTACGCAATCCCACAACGCATGGTTTGAAAGATTTGCTAAGTTACTCCTAGCAATGAGTTACGAGTTAGGGAGACCACACCATGTTCATTAAGCACTTGATTCAGGAAGAGTTATAACTCTCTTAGTGTACGTTGATAATATTATTGTGACATATAATGACAAAAAAGGAGAGATTGATGATCAAACAATACTTAGCTAAAGAATTTCGAATAAAAAATTGAAAAAATAAAATACTTCCTTGGAATTGAAATGACTCACTTAAAAGCTGAAATGTGTATCTAAAAGCAGAAGTATATTATTAATCTACTGAAGGATATAGATAAGCTAGCATACAAATTTGTAATACACCGATTGATCTCAACCATAAACTAGGACTAACAAAGGAAAACACAAAGTCAGTAAGGAGATGTACCAAATGCTGGTTGGAAAATCGATATAGTTGTCATACATAAGACCCGTTAACTGTGCGGTAAATATGGGAAGTCAATTTATATACAATCCTAAAGAACTACATCTACAGATAATTTACTGAATGTTACATTATCTTAAAGAGACACCAAGAAAATGTATCATATTCAAGAGAAATAACAGGAATTGAACCGACTCACTTAAAAGCTGAAATGTGTATCTAAAAGCAGAAGTATATTATTAATCTACTGAAGGATATAGATAAGCTAGCATACAAATTTGCTAGTACACCGATTGATCTCAACCATAAACTAGGACTAACAAAGGAAAACACAAAAGTCAGTAAGGAGATGTACCAAATGCTGGTTGGAAAATCGATATATTTGCCATACATAAGACCCGTTAACTGTGCGGTAAATATGGTAAGTCAATTTATATACAATCCTAAAGAACTACATCTACAGGTAATTTACTGAATGTTACATTATCTTAAAGAGACACCAAGAAAATGTATCATATTCAAGAGAAATAACAGGCTACTTTTTGAAGTCTAACACTAACTATGTTGGAGCAATAACGGACAAAAAATCCATTACTGTCTATTGCACCTTTCTTGAAGAAAATCGAGTCACATAGAAAAGTTAGAAATAGAATATAGTGGCAAATTTTAGTGTAGAATTAGAATTCTATACAATGGCTCAAGGAGTATGTAAGCTATTATCATTGAAGATGATTCTAGAAAACCTAAGGATCAAATGGACTAGTCTCATGAGAACTATTATGATAACAAATCAGCAATCAGTACTACTCATAATTTAGTGTAATATGACAAGATGAAACATATTGAATTTGATAGACATTTTATTAAAGAGAGACTAGACAGTGACTTGATATGTAAACCTTACATGTCTACTAACTCTCGACTTGCAAATGTATTAACGAATGGAGAAAATCGTCTAGTTTTTCAGAAAATTATTGTTAAACAAGGAATGAATAATGTCTATTCACCAACTTGAGAGGAAGCACTGAAAAATGTATATATGTAATTAGAGTAGAGAGTTATATTAGTAAAATATCTGTATATAATAACCATAAGATTTCCTTTGTTATAGTTAAAAGTATATATATAGAATCTCATTATTAAATAAAATATATACAATTCATTCTTCCACATATGATTATTTGAAAAGTTTTGGTATTGGATTGAATTTTGTTGATTGCTATGTGTCAGGTCTTACGCTGAAGTAAATTTTTGGATTATGGCTTGAAAATGTATGTGTTATTCTGCTTGGATTCTGGAATTCTACACTGGCTGTGGGAAGCACAGGGCTATCTGTCAATTTAGTTCCTGTGCAGGCTAATGGACATCCTTAAGAACAAGGACGTTTTCATGGGAAGGACAATGTCACGATCCAAAATAATTGTCAGAGTTAGTTGGAATTAGTACGTTGTTTTTTTTGTTACTAACAATTTGCATAAAATTAATTCAAGTAAGTTGACTGGTGTAATATTATCAGCTATAAATGTTGTATTCTATAACTGCTTTCGATCGAAGAAAGTATAAATGAAATTCAAATTTTCTTCTCTAAAGCAAAGTTCTTCTTCCTTCTTTGAATTTCTTTTTCCTCTAATTTTCTCAAATCAGGATTTAGGATTCCGATAAAAACATTGGATACAGTTGAGTAAGGATATTACCCACCTCTTATCCTAACTATGGAATAATTGTAACCTTATTTTAAGGTTGGGTTCAGTTTAATTTCAATCTTATAGAATATGAATGAGAATATAATAGAGATTCTAAATTAAAGTCAATTTCATGCCCAGTCCGAGTTAAATATTCTTTTTATTCATTATTAATAATTAAAAATATGAATTAAGCTTTGTTGAACTGAAAGTATGAATAAAGTTGATTCATTTGTACATTAAATATGTAAACTGTAAACTTTCTACCTTGTAAATAATTAAGATTTATAAATTCAACAGGAATGAAATAGGTTTGAGGTTCAAATATATATTCTCTTTGGATTGAATTCTACTTTGGAAATTACCTTCTGTTTTTATAATTTGCATCTAGAGATTTATCAATAGTTTGGGAATTCCCTTTTGCGTTTATACTTGATCATATCTTAGCATTTCTGCAAATTTAATCAGAGTTCTTATTGCTGCTACCATATAAGAAAAGACAGTCTCTTACACTCTGTTTTCAAAAGAGTGTATATCCAGCTTAACAATTCTTTGTTCAATTAGTCTCTAATAGAGAAGAGTCCAATATATTACATATAAAATATTAACAAATTCTTCCCTTCATCTAATCAAGAATGATCTTCTTCTAGCGTGGTTCCAACAAAGAATTTGTGACTTCGTTTGTTGAAGATGATCCTTGCTTTCCTGAGGAGTAATCTTCTACAGGAAGATACCTTTCTGTGAAAAAACCAGGTTGCTTCGGTTGTGGCAATAAGCTATCACCTCCAAGCATTACAACTACAGTTGAAATATCCGGCCGGTCTTCTGGTTTTCGTTGGACGCACAAAAGTCCTATATGGATGCATCTTAACACTTCTGATAAAGAACATGAATCACCTAACAAATTATCTACAAGTTCCAATGGCTGTCCTCCTATCCAGAGTCTCCATGCCTGAAAGACAAGTAGGCATATATGAATATATACATATATTCACGTGTCTCTTATATAATATCACCAACATAATTAGACCCAGTCAAGTAAACAAGATAGCAGAGAAAAACCCTCTGTTTTCCCATTGCTTACATGTCCAAGAAGGTTATGATTGTGATCTGGGTGATAAAATCCTCGGTTTTTCTTCCCACTCACAATTTCTAGTACTAAAACTCCAAAGCTGAAGACATCAGATTTCACCGAGAAGTGACCATCAACCGCATATTCAGGAGACATATAACCACTAAAAGACCATAACAAATAAAAGAAAAGGTCAGATTATTGCAAACAATGCAGAGAGAAGGATAGAACAAAGTTGAACCATATACGCACTATGTTCCAACAACTCTATTAGTGTTTGCTTCAAATTGATCTCCACCAAGTGTTCTGGCCATACCAAAGTCCGATATCTTTGGGTTCATATCTTTATCGAGCAAAACGTTACTTGTTTTAAGATCTCTATGGATAATCCTCAGTCTGGAGTCTTGATGAAGATAAAGAAGCCCTCTAGCAATTCCACTAATGATGTGCTTGCGCTTATTCCAGTCAAGCAATTTGCCTCTTGATCGATCTGAATCACATTGTCTTTAAGTGTATTATAGTTGTACTCAGACTAACATTTTAGTTCAATTACTTATCAACAAACAAACACAGCTTAAATTTAAAAAAGAGAGAGGTCTTGATATTCCAATTAGATAGGATTTATTTGTTGGGAAAAATTTTTAGAGAGAAGACTATTTTTAGGTGATACTTTATTAGAAATGAGAAGAAAAAGAAAGAGAAATTACTATAAATACTCAATTTTTAATTTCTGATAATCACCTAAATCCTCAAGTAGATAAATATATATAATCACTAATACAACTCTTAAAGTTTTAAATGCATGAATCATAATTAAGTCTAATTCATGAAACGCTTAAGAAAACTCAAAAAACACATATTGGTTATCATATTTATAATCTACATTTAACTTAATTTTCAAATAAAATAAAGAGTTTAGACATGTTAAAATTTGTAAACTATTATTTTAAACAGTATCTACAGATCCAGTGATGAACAAACCGAAAATGAAGTGATCCAAGCTTTTATTTGGCATATATTCATAAATCAGCATTCTTTCATCTCCTTGAATGCAGCAGCCTAGAAGCTTTACAAGATTTCTGTGCTGAAGTTTGGCAATCAATAGAACCTCATTTTTGAACTCTTCAGTTCCCTGTCCTGAATTCTTTGAGAGTCTCTTTACTGCTATCTCTTGCCCCTCCATTAATGTGGCCTATTAATCCTCACAAAAATCATAAGTTAGTGGAATCTTTTCTTTTAGTAGTCAACATATTCTAAAGCTAGCGTTCACATATCAGAACTATGTTTCTTCCCTTTCTGGTCAAAGATAGACCATCCACGTTTGAATTAGAAGATTCATGAAAGAATGTTAGCAACCTAATTCCAAAGAACCAAATCTTAGACCTAAACTACAAGCTAACTTTCACTTACCAGTGAACTAATCTTTTACAGTTTTGTTAGTGGAGTCTCCAATATATCAGAGCTTTACCTTGTATACTGGTCCAAAACCACCTTGCCCCAGTTTTTTATCGATTGAAAAGTTATCTGTGGCACTTGCTATGGTGGTGAAATCAAACATTGGCAACTCCATTTCTTCCTTTTTGCAGTAATTCCTCAGCTTCCCTAAGTGGCATGAGATTAGTTGGATATTATGATTTAATCTTCATCTAACACTTCATGCATGTTTCAAGGCACTAAAGATTCATCTTTTTTCTTCTATCGATGGAGTTAGAGTATACAAAATTATTAGAATTTTGTGATTTAGTTGGCTTACCTTGCTTTCTAAGTTTTCTTTTTCGCATATGCAAGATCCATCCGAATACCAATATTCCTGTTATTAGTGCTGTAGTTGAGACAACTATTGCTACTTGTTTTTTTCCTTTTTTCTGTCTGTTTGGCTCAGCATGATCTGAAATAGGAAAACAAAATTAGAAGACGTTAAAAATTCAAGTATAGCCATTAAGATTTTAGTGATAGCAAGAGTACAACCTCATGCAACTCTACAACTACCATGAGTCATTTTAATATAGGAAACTGAGAATAAATCACCATATCTTAATAGAATACTTTAGGAAGAAAATTTGCACCTAATTCCGATGCAACTACTCGGATGTAGAGATCTTGTCCACTTTCTGGAAGATCTCTTATGTCAATTATTTCGTTGAACCAGACCAAGCAGCCACTTCCTACTCTAGCATCTGAATTTGCATATGCCACGCATGAACAATTTTTAGAACAAATTTTCGCACACTCCTCCAGTCCAATGCCCTGATCAACCCAAGAGTTAGATGTATCTGGCAATTTTACACCAGAGTACTTTTGAAAACCATCTCCCTCATCACATTTCAATTTTTTCTTCCTAACGCACCCATCAGACCAGTCTAACAGATTCCATTCTCTGGGAGATCTTGGTGCAAATCCTTTCAAGCAGCTGCATACTGGAGAATTATTGATGTTACAGCGAGCATAAGCCCCACATAAGGCATAATCATCACACTGATCAACCTGTATAGCAAAGTAGCGTGCCCAACTATTCGTCTTATCAATCCATGTGAACCGCTGAGCAGTTCCTGTTGGATTCACCACCAATCTTGAAGCGATAGAGCTGTTTCTGAGTTCAAACTTGTAATAGATTTCACTTGCTGTTGACACAAAATCATAGGTGTATATTGGGTTTTGTTTCATTGCAGGAAGTCCCGTCCAACGAAGGCCATTCCAGGAGCCTGCTCGAAACTGTAGGATGTTTCCTTTCTTAAGAACAAGTTGGGGGAAGCCATCAAAATCTATCTGAAATGTGTAGTCACCCCTAGCAGGATTATCTGTAGTTTTCCATGATGACAAAACTTTTTCGAACCCTGTACTCAAATATTTTCCGAGTCTCATTCCTGGCAGTAAAGTGTCAGATGGATAATCAAAGCTCTGCCATAAAAACCTTTCTGGATTATCATCATTTCCACTTTTTACCACCAGATTTCCTGATTCTAAGAGTTGTGCTACTGGACTCTGCTGGGCTGTCCTTGAGGTATTAGATGACCACACAACACCTTTTGTGCTGTTCAGGAGGACAAGGATTCCTTCTTCTGTGATGTGGAGAACTCCTGAAGAATCAGAAAGAGGAGTCTCTCTGTTGGCTACCCACACAGCAGTCCCAGAAGATATTTTCTTGTACCAAATTCCTAAGTATCTACTCCTCGAATTACCAGGGCTGAAGAATCCAAGCTCGAAACTTCCACCCGCTGAAATCATA